TTAAGATTAGAATGCATAAAAAATTGAATAATAGTTTTATCGCTAATTCATTGCTTTATGAAATAAATTATTTTCAGATATCTTATAATTCAGTTCTTATTAATACTGAGTCGAAGGAACGAAAAAAATTAATATTGTTTTCAGAGCGCAAAAATAAACTATGAACTAATTATTTTTAAATCTGTGAATCAAAGGATCTTCAAACCATAGTTTTAAAAGTTACAGCGAAAAAAATGGGACTAAAACCAAGTACGAACTATAAGCTAAACTAAACTACGAAGGCATTTTTTTGCGCAAATGGTAATATAGAATATAGCGAATGAATAATGAATACAGATTTTGAAGCTTTCAACCATTTTTAATATTAAAAATCGTTTCTTGAACAAATATCTTTACAGCGTTCTCCAGTAAATAGACTTAAGGAAGACCAGCTTTCACCTATTGGTTTTTTCATGTTAGCGCAAATTTATTCTCCTGACATCATTTCCATAAATTCTGAAGAATTTATAATTTATATATTATAAAAGCCTTATTTATGCAGTTAGCACCGACCATTTCTAGTTTGATTAGTGCCGCTGATTGCTAATGCGATCAGAAATTTTTGCCAACGAGCACTATGGAGATAGAGGTATAGATAAGTCCTCATCACCATTCAAACTTTTCAATGACAGGTTCATTATTTTCGGGGAATGTGATCGAATGGTGTTTGAGACGAATCGAAGCAACCATACCCTTCGACCAACCCTTCTCCAAAAGCAAGGTGATAGGGAACTATTGGAATTAATACATTTTAATACCGCCATAAGATTTAATTTTAATAATAGTAATAATTATAAATAATTTTATATCGAATTGGATTGAGCCGACTATGGATTTTTTTTTGAAATTCCTTGCTAGACTTATTTGTCTTATACAAATTATTGTTATTTATACCATCGAAATCGACTGTTCCTGAGCCATCAGCATCGATCTCCGCGATCATTTCGTCCAGCTCTTCCTCGGATACATTGTCATCGAGTGCTCTCAAAATATCGCGTAAATCCGATACAGCAATATAACCATTGCCCTAAATCAAATATAGTTTTTTTTCAAAAGAGGAATGTGAAGTGAAAGCAAATTCGGGATTTATGAATGGCTAATGATCTTATCACTGGCTGTATGAAATATATGTATGATTTATTTATTATATTATATTATATTATATTATATTATATTATATTA